TAAATGTATGTTTGCTTCAAGTTCTGAGAAATAATAACTTACATTTCTCTGAATTAATAAAGAACTGTAGAACTTTTCTTTCTACTTAAAAAAAATTAGTAAAGTGTTGTTTTTGTCTTTCTTTCTTCCCTTCCTTCCTTTCTTTCTTTCTTTCTTCCTTCCTTCCTTCCTTCCTTCCTTCCTTCCTTCCTTCCTTCCTTCCTTCCTTCCTTCCTTCCTTTCTTTCTTTCTTTCTTTCTTTCTTTCTTTCTTTCTTTCTTTCTTTCTTTCTTTTTGTGGGGGGGGGAAGGCCTGCATTTTAGTGTCTTCAGTTTTGACAATTCCCACACTTCTGAGCCCTGAAATAAAAGATATCCATATGGCCTCTGCAGACGCTCTTCTGGGAGCTTAGGATTTGACTTAAAAAATCCTTCCAGGCTTCAGTCTCCCAGAACTTTGACCATACTATGAGATTATTAAGTGTTTGTTACCCCCTAGTTTTATAAAATCTAAAAAAAAAAAAAATCAAAAAAAGTTAACATGTGAGAATGTGTTCAAGAAATCTTGTTCAACTATGGAATACTTTCTCAATAAAATGTCGCTGTGTAGAAAAAGACACCAGGATGGGTATGGCCCTCATGCCTCACTGGACAACGACAGGGGGACTGGAGCCATTACAAGGTTCCCTTCAATTACTGGAGGTCAGGCCTCTATCTCTGCCTTCACAAGTTTAGAATTGCCACAGCCCTTCTATACTTAGAGAAGGGAGGAGATGTCAGGGGCAGCCCTGCTTACACACTGTAGGCCTAAAATCAGCCATAGGCCTAAAATCAGCAATAGGCCTGTCATACATGTATACTAATACCAAGTCTTGGGTCTCAGTGGAAAAACATTGAAACAGATGGCTATAAGCTAATGTTAACAGGCAGCTTTTGTGGAAATTTATAAGCCTGAGTAGTCATAGACCTTGTAAAGAGGTAGCCTTGGCAGACAATACCAACTTAGATAAGGACAAGTGAGTCATAGGCAGAGTCATAGTGACTTGTCCCCTGAACCTTCACCCAGCCAATACCTGGTTCTGAAGATATCTGTATTCCCCCTGAACACCCACACTCCAGTGTCATTCCCTTCCCTGCATCCTGCCTTTCTGTGTTTATACCCCTGTGTGAATTAATTATGCTTTGAGAAAAAATTAAAAAAAAACAACTAAAAACTTCTACCTCAGACTCCTGCATGCTAGGATTACAGGGTTGTGTCACCATGCGTGGGCCTAGAGAATTTTCTTAAGCTGATCTTCACAAAAATGTCTTTCAATAGAATGATAAGTTAGACAGATGTAGGAATTTCTTGGAGTTACCTTCTTTTTCCCCAAGACAATTTTCTCAAATATGTTTTCAGATATTATAGCATGTTTGGCATCTTAATTAATCATACTAGTGGGCTAATAAATTTTGATACTATTGCATATGTGCTTAGCATTTGGTAGCAAGGCTCTGAGTTCAGTCCTCAGCACCAGAAAAAAAAATTGACAAATTTCTTGCTACTCTGAAAAATATCTGTACTCCCCCTGAACACCCAGGCTCCGGTGTCATCCCCTTCCCCATGTCCTGCCTTTTTGTGTTTATAACCCCTCTGTGAATAAGTAAAAAATTACAATTTGATTTAAAAAAAATAAAATAATAAAAAAATGAAAAAAATGTTGCTGTGTATACTAAACAATAAAAGAAATGTTTATATTGGCATGAATAATTTTATATATCATCTTTGGTAGAGTATTTTAGCCCATGTTCCCCCCCATGTCTGTCTCTCTTGCCCTTCATTAACCATTAATTTTTTTTTTTACTTTCCAACCTAGTCTCCTTTTCCTTTCTTGTTTTTTGTATATGTATGTATCCCACTATAATTAATGAATACTGCTTATATGAGTAAATATGAATTTAATTTCATATCTTCTCTGATATTTACTTTTTTCTTCTCTTCCAATTAGGCCCCTTATTTCCTTTTAGAAATATAGTCAGTGTAGTAGCTACCAAGAAGGAGGGACCATTTTCTTGCCTTTTTTTTTTTCTCAGAAGAAAGGCATTTTTTTGTTTTTATATTTGATCTCAAATTTTTGATGCTCCTGTGTCAGCCTCCTACTGCTGGAATTATAGATGAACAATACCATGCCTAGCTAGAAACACACTTCTTGATCTTCAAATTATCCTAATAATTTATATTTTGGGATGTTTCAGATATAAATTATGATTCCCAACAGATAATTTCTGGAAAATACAGAAAACTCACAGATAACCGAGACTAATGGTATGCCCATGTCCTTGAAAGGTAGAGGCTACTAGGACCAGGATCTTCTGTTATATGATGAGCTTAAGGCTAGGCTAGTCTATAAAAGGCTCTATGTAAGAAGATAGATTCTGATTTTTGACACCAGTATAAGCGATTTATTGCAAATTCTTTTATATCATACACGAACGGGCTTGCCAGTCCACTGAGGAGGGCCATGGGTTGGGATGACGGCTAGGAGTATCCTGAAAGTACAGCATGTGAAGCCAGCCCTCTGGTGTTTTCCTTTATATATACCAAAGGTATGACTTTTCTTATATTGTTTAGTGTACACACCAACATTTTATTGAGAAGGTATTCCATATTTGAACAAGGTTTTTTGAACACATTCTCACATGATAGCATGTTTCAAATGATATCTTGGTCATCCTTAGTTTAGGGTGGAGCTAGGCCAGGCCAGGCACCTGAGAAGCTCCTTTGAGCAGTCCACCCACCCAGGGGTTCCAGTCATTCCTCCTGTATCCTTACTCTTGATTTCCTTGAGGGCTGTCAGAATAACTTCACCATTGTTCCTTATCATCTTCACACTGTATTTGCAACCTTCTATCCCTGCAAATCCTTCTTCCGGTCAGCTAAAAGTTATACCTAGGATTTTACTATACATCAGCATGAGCACTACACTATAATTTTGGAAAATGTAGGTCTTTATTTGAGACGTTCATGTTATGATTTTTTTTCTTTAACAAGCTCCAAGTTGACCTCATATTTCTTATATAGCAAATACTACTTGGTATTTGATACAGTTTTCTTGGAAACAGCAAGGCAGCTGGTTTTCCAGGAAGTTGTTTGGATATGAATGCAGTGAATGTGTGTCACTGGAAATAAAGTAAGTATAAACATTGGTCCTATATTACAAGGAACAGGTCTCTTTAGGATCTGGGACACTTTAGAGGCTGGCACAAGGTGGTTTAATTTGAGTCATCTCTTTGTTGGTAGGATTGTTGAGGGTAAAGTGTAGGATGAATTATGAAATCTGGATGGTGCAAGCCAGAGGTTATCTATAATGTGGAAAGTTGTTTCCCAGTGCTGGACCAGACGAAAGAGAGATACTTACAGCAATTTGAGATCCCTAAATCTTTGAGCCATCCCAGAGAAACAGATGTCCTAGATCAGAGGAAGCCATGAGATTGAGGTGAGGTCCTCCTCCCTCTTGCTCACTCAGAAACCCACAAGTGTCAATACTCTCGTACTTTATGGCTCACTTGTTAACTACAATAGCTGAGACTCCTTAGGGAGCAGATTTCCAGATGCTCCAAGGGGCTCTAGGATCCTTTTAGAAGTTTTCGAGTTAGGCATCTTTGAAATGGTTAACCAAACTCCTTGATCCCTATGCTTCCCAATTACGTATTTCTACAGTAAACAAATAAGTAATAAAATAAAGATATCTATCAGAGTCATAAGATACTCCCAAAGTCTGGATGCAATGGAAAGTCTGGATGCAATGGAACGTGAAAACGTTCCTGTTTGCTTTGGTCTTTAGCTACACTTGTCATGTGTTGCCTTTTCTCTTCATTTGAGAGGGTTTCTTCCCACAGACTTCTAGTGGGACACTTGCCACCGTAAGCTGTTTTTAATGCTTGAAGTAAATGGATTCCACTGATTTTCACTATTGTGTAATAATAAAAGTCTGAAGTGAACTGTTTACCCAATGCTAAAACACTGGTTTAAGGACTTTAAGTGAATTAACTCATTAAAATAGAGCATCATCCCACGCACTAGAAAAGTCCATCTGCGTCGGGAGGGAAACCAAAGCATGAAATAATGAAATAGCTTTCTGGAGGCCCATGCAACTGTTAGGTGACAGAAGCAAGGGTCAGGGTCCAGGTTGCAAAGGGTCGAAGCTTAGCTTCGGAACACTTTCATCTTTTGCTTCTTTTCATCAGCATGAGCTAGAAAGAACTCAACAAAAGAAAACAAAAAACAAACAAATGAACAATCAAAAACAAAAATAAACCCCACCTCACTGTGTATCCTAGGGTTGTCCTCTTGCCTCAGACACCTTGGTATTGTGATTGTAGGCATGCATCAATGGCTGGTTCATAGAGAATATTTTAAAATACTCTTCAAGTAATGCTCCATTCACCTAGCCTATTCTAGGAGCTTTCCCTTAGAGCCCCATTCACTAAAAAGAAAAAAAAAAAGCTAAATGAGCAATATAGAAGAAACTATAGATTAGAAAGTAGTCTTTTTCGTTCTTCCCCTCCCACCCCCCATTCATCTAGTTTAAAGTCAAACATGACAAGCTAGATTTAAGGATTCTGACATCTGGGTACCAAATTGGGACTCTACTCCATAAGGCCAACAGTTGTAAAAGAAACATATGGTCTATCCCTGCATCCTTTGATGAGCAGAATTCTGCCATATAAGTAACGCTTAAAACAATGATCAGAAAAGACAGGTATAGAAAAGAGAGACTTTGGGGGATGAAATATATTTTTCGAAAGGCGGTGGCATCACAGCAGAGCTTTTGAGAACTTTTTCAGAATATGTATTAAGTAACATTTATGGAAATAATGAGGCTGACTTCCAGATGTGAAAGAAAAATGGTTGGAAATACTGTGAATTTTATGGTGGGCATGAGTAGAGTATACCATATCAGATCTAATGTATTTTAGTCTTTTTCTTCTTTGACCAGAACTCAGAATGTATTAAAAAGCCTCTTATATTTTCCTCATTAGCTATGGATTACAGCCACCAAGCAAGGAGTGAGAGCTGGAACATTCTTTTGGTCTGTGTAAGTTACCTTTATTTTGTCAATGTTTATAAAATTACGGTTATAGGTCAATTGATGAGACATCAATTTAAGTCAGCTTCATTTCAACTAAATGTAAACATGTCAAATTTATGAGAATTTACTGATTCAAAAATAACTTTCCAGGCATTGTTTTCTTCTTCAAGGTTCATTCTATGCCTCATTTGACTTCCCCACCCCCCTTCCTGCTCTCTCTCTCTCTCTCTCTCTCTCTCTCTCTCTCTCTCTCTCTCTCTCTCTCTCCTCTCTCATCCCATCATTTAGTTAAGAATACCTTTCTCCTGGACCTGCCTTTTACATCTTTTATCTTATTAATCTTTACTTTGTCAACTTTTCATCCAAGAGTGTGTAATTCTTTTAGATGATTACTACAGTTTCCGTTATCATTATTTTTAAATATATTACAACCTACTGTGTTTACTTTGTGTTTACTTATTTTGATTCCCAACTTTAGATGCAGAGTGTAGTCTATGTAGGGCAGCTGGGAGGGTTTGACACAGTAGACCAGGGTTGGGGAAATGTCCATTTTAGTTCATTTCCCACCAAACTTCTCAATTTTCCCAGTGAGATTATGGGACTGTCCATCCCTTCAGAAGTAACTGGAGGCTAATAATTGACATTTTCAGGCTTTCAAAGTAAATTGAACTGATAAAATGGTCAACATGTTGATGGTTTTTAAGCTCTTTTAAATAAGAAACAGGATCTGTTTCAACTTTCATGGGGATTTTGTTCCTAGATTGATGTTTCCATCTTTTGCTTTTGTTTTTTCCAACCTAAAGCAGTTTCCCCGTGTTTGTTTTTTATGCTTTAACAAAGCAATCTGACTGATCTATTAGCAGCAGTGTGCTGGGATCTGTTGCATGTAGTTTTATGCTCTACCCGAATTTATTCTGGGAGGTGACCATGCTACCAGCCCCATCTGGCTTCCCTAGAATCCTTGGACAAAACACACACACACATGGGTTCAGATTAATCCAGAATGATGCTTTCTCTAGATTCAAATTCAGGAATGGAGGGTAGACTCTTCTGATTTGAAGGAGTTCAGCTGAAATAATTTTGGGTGATCTGAAGCTAAGACAGGTGGCCCTTTAGAAGTAGTTTTTCTTTTCCCTTACAAAGCGGTCCCGACTTGAGAGGTAGGTGTGGCTAGGTTAGAATCAATGCTGCTTAGTGTAAGTGGTCTGTTGTCTACCAAGTTAACCTCCCACAGATTTCTCAGGTTTTAACCCTTGGCTCTCACAGATGCATATGGGAATTGTGCTCTGCAGAATGGAGAGGAGCCAACAACATAATTAATACTTAGTCCTCACCCTTACCCCCCCTGGAACTGCTGGAAAGCTTTCTTGAAAAGGCCCAGTGTTCTGTCTTTGAATGACAATTTTCTCCACCCATTTGAAACCACTTATAAGAAGGTGGCTTTTGTGTGCTCCCAAGATGTCTTTGCCTCTCCAGCCATTCTTTTATCCCCATGTCCTGGAAGTGAGCAGGCTCATTTACTTCCAACTCTGACCCCTTTGAAGCTTTTTATAACTTTATAAAATATGATCAGGCTTCTCACTTTTATGGGGAATATATATCAAGGGAATCTACATATAGTCCATTTTGAAAATTTTTTAAATTTAAATAAAACCAGATTCAAACCATAGGTTTAGACTTTAAAGGCCCTCTTTAAAAAAAAAAAAACACAGTTTCTTATTGCAGTCTAGAATTTTATTCTTGCTCTTAAATGATAGTGTTTCATTTCAAAATCATCCCCAGCTGACACTGCATCTCGTTCCTTTGTTCCAATTTATTCTTAGAGGCAGTAATTCCCATTATATAGACGTGTTTAGTTTGAATAGAATCCTAGTTCTGCTCCTTGTAAGGTGACTAACTTGAGCACTGACTATCTCAACAAATCAATAGCCTCATCTTTAAATAGGAATAATAATGAGGGCACTGTAGAGACAGAATGAGGTAACTTCTTTAGAGTGCTTTATTAGGTTCCTTGGTACAGAGAGAACAGCCAATAACTGATATTTGTTTTTTATTCTCTTTATCTCTTTAAGCACTGACTAGACAATGTAGCCCCTGACCACTAAGTTCTTCATTAGTCAGCCCTCCATTTTCTAAATTTTAGTTATCTTTGTTTTTTTTCAGGTTTGTGGTGTGTGTGTGTTTGTGTGTTTGTGTCGGTGTCTTATATACTTGGTCTCAAGATTAATCCTTTGTCAGTTGATGCTGCTGGAGACAGTGACACACTCTATTTTCCTTGCTGCCTAGACAGTTGCTGGCCCCTGATCAGATTATTTGCAATTCTCTGCCCTGTGTTTGAGACACTCATGCCTAAGGGCCCTGTCTTTTTTATCTGTAAGATTATTTTCATAGCACGTTGAAAACTTTAGAGACAACCTTGTCCAACTCTTTGTTTTAGATATCAGAGCATTAAGGCCGAGTTTGCTAAATGTAGTCGTCAAGCTCACACTCATGATGGACTCCAGAGTCTTCATTGTTGCACAGATAACACTAGAGGGTGGGTGGGGGTGTGGTGGAGCTTCTACTTAAGAAATGATAAAAGATTCCTCTGCTTTTCGAGTCCAAGTAGAGGAGGATGACTCCTACCATAGTCTTTTTGATGAGAGAGTCTTGTATCTGTGTTTATATACCTGCCTTAATTGTATTGTACCTTTTATATACATTTTATGAATAAATGTATTCTTTCTATAGAACTAGAAATCCAGCACATGATTATATAAATGAGAATTTTTAACGTATCTATTAACTCTTTGATAATTTCTTATACTATGTTTTCATAATATTTACTTCCCACACCTTCTTGTACCTCTCCTCTAGATCCACCCCATCTCTCCACCTGTCTGACTTCATGACTTTTTTATTTTTATGTTTTAAAAATCCTACCCAGCAAGTCCACTTGATGCTATTGATGCTGCCCATGTATTCATGGGTATGAGACCATCCATTCCAGCACTGTTGAAGTAGTAGAGGTCAGAGCCTCAAAGAGAACTGACTCCCTCCTTTAACGACCAGCTATCAGTAGCTCCTCAGGAGTGGAGGGGGGCAAGCCCCATTCCTCCATGCTAGAACATTGATTGGCTTGGTTTTATAAAACTAGCATTTTCCTATGAGCCAGGAATGATTTCAAGAACTTTACATATCTCTTTGGATCCTTCTAATAGCCTTATGAATGGGTACTGCTAGTAGCATTTTTCCAAAAGATAGATACCTTGTCAAAGGGTGAACATTCTGAACTTGACATGTATTCTGCCACCTTGTATTTCTCTACTGATGCCAGGAGTTCATATTTGTGGTGTGACACCATAAGAAAGCAGCTTTCAGGTAGATAGAAAAAGAAAGTAACAGGAATAGGCTGGGGCACTGGCTTTTTTTTCTTTGTAAGTGAGGAAAGAATTCAAAATATGCAATTAAATTTATTTTGTTCTGATACAACGGATTTCTAAGACTAAAAGGATTAAATTCCTTAAGTGATTAACCTGGCTTTGCTTAGTCTGTTTTGATTTCATTTATAGGATATAATAAGCAGGGCCACATTTATTCAATGTCAGTGCAATATGTTTACAAGAGGATTTATTTCATAGTAAGCATGATTTTGTGCTCTTGGAGGTCATCTCTAGACAGAGGATTCTGGGGTGGCATCAAATCCCGAGAGTAGAGCTAAGTGGAGCTAGGGGAATGGGTGTCGATGGCAGGCACAGAAAGAGGGTCCCTAGGTCTAGTCATTTACCATGTTTGTGAGGATCTATCTTTTCCCCAGCCACCTTGTTGATGTTCCCTGAGACTAAGGATTTAAATGGTCTACCCAATAATTTTCCTCACCACGATAAAACTAGTGCAAGTTTGGATTCAATATGAATTAGCCTCTATGGTTTGATCTTAGAGCAGAAGAACATTTTGTGTTCCTTGTTGTAGGGTGAGCGATTTTTTTCTCAAGTCAAGATAGTGCTTAGCTTGCGAGCATCCTGTCCTGTATTAGCCAAGAGCTCCTAATGCTATTACCAGGCCTAGGGTAATTATATTCAACAGAGGAATGGTAGTTTAAACACAAAAGCCATTGTGGATGAAGATTATAGCCCTTTTGTCAGTCTTGTAATTATGTGTGCCTGCTCTTGATAGATCTGCTTTGTTTTTATGCCCCTTCAGGAGCATCCCTCATGAGCGGAGAATCCTAACCATTCTTCAGTGGCTTTCCCTGCCAGACAATGAGAGGTATTTGTTCTCCTCTCTCCTTCTCTCTTCCTTCTTCAAGATCTTTCCATCTTGGGCTAGTGATGGACAAAACACTCGATGAATGGACTGGGACATAGAAGCACAGCCAAGGATTGCTGTTATTAAACGTCTTGTGCTTATTGACCTTAAGCATTATTTCCTTAAGAAGGTTTCAGTTACCAGGGGACCATTTAATTCCACGGATTATTCCAGCTGTTAATCCTGGTGACTTCAGAGGACCTGAAGCAAGTTGTTGGCTTTGATAAAGGAATCAATCTCCAGCATCTCAAGGACTGAAAGGCGTCAAGCCTGAGTGTCCATCCCCTTGAATATAGTCAGTTCTTTCAGACGGTGACCACCATGTTCTGTTACATAAGGATGTAAGGAGTCCCCAGTGAGGCTGGAATATTTTCATTTTGACTTTTAAGGCTTCGAAGTTGCACTTGCCACTTACACAGTGAGAAGTGGTGTGGAAGCGTAGCTCGACGGGTGAAGAAGTAATAGCAAGCGAAAGTTTTTATTGTACTACTAACCATGGGTGGGAGACTCATTCAGTTAGAAGGATTTTGTTTTTGAATTCTTTTAGGTTAATGTTCAATGATGGATTTCATTATGACATTTGCATGTATTTGTGTTACTATGATTTGCTTTCTTCTATTTCCTTTCTGTTGCCTTTCTGTGTGCTCCCTAACCCCCTTGACATGTTTGTTTGTTTGTTTGTTTTATGGATTGCTCTATGTAGCCTGGGGTTGATTCTGGTTCTGATTTTTCCACAGGCCTTCAGTTTATGCCTTCTACTCAGAGCAGCCTGATTTTTCTGGACACAAGTACGGTCCTTTTGGCCCTGAGGTTAGTAGTTTACCATCTGCCTGAGGAGAACCTGTGTTCCCAAGTCACCTACCTTCCAAAACCTTATTTTAGGATTTGTACATAGTCTGGGAATTTTCATATGTAAAAGGCCTAAACATTGTCAAATAATGTGTAAAATTTAGACTAAAACCTTAAATGCACTTGTTTCTCTTACAGAAACTTTATTTCAGATTGCTTTAATATAGAAACTTATACTAAATATGGTGCTATAGGGAATAGGAGAAATTGTAGCCATGAAGGAAGGCATCGGCAGAGATTTGGTTACCATTGGCTAGGACAGAGTGAATTCTTGAAATCCTTGATACACATGATACCGTAACTGAATTTTAACTCCCTTAAAATGGTTACACAGAGGAGAAGTTATTCATCAGCCTCAGTAGCCTTATCATGATCAACCTGACATATGGCATAGGAGAAATATATTTTATCGGGTATTTGGACATAGATGTTCATACTGTGAAGCCATGAGCACTCCAGAGATGCAGATGATAAAATGCACTCTTTTTTTTTTTTATTGGATGATTTATTTACATTTCCTATGTTGTCCCCTTACCCCATCCCCCACCACCCCCTCGGAACCCCCAATCCCCTCGCCCCTCCTCCTTCGTCTCTGTGGATGTAACCTCTATCTACCCCCCCCACTCCCACCTCCCCACCCTCAAAATTCCCACCCCCTGGGGCAGATAAAATGCACTCTTAAATGAGAGAGATGCTCCATTGGAGGCAGGTGGCTAATGAGGCTGGTGATGCTCTGGCTACCCTCAGCCATCCCAGTAGAAGACAATAAGGTACAATTCACTAGAGTATCATGTCCAGGAAATGGTGGCATATTATTGTTTTCATTGATTCATGATGGAATCCTTCCTAACATTTCAGTTAGTCTTGCAATATGATGAGGTCTGCCAGTCAAACTTTTAAAATATTTTAAATGCTTTTCATTGTCATCATGGGACACAGAGGTCATTACAAAAATGTAAATACTAATGTGAGCTGAGAAAATTATTTTAAACAGTCTTTGTTGATGGCTACTATCTCCAATTCTCTGGAAGCCCATGATGGCACAGTTGCGTTAACTAAATTCACTGTGTTCAGCATAGGGATATCTTAAAAATGCAGATAAAGGTATCTTGATTGGAGCAGTTCTGAACAAATTGTCCATGTCTAAGCAAATGCAGTGAATACTAAGAAGATAGAAGGATTTCTGACTGCTCCACCAGCAATTCAGTGTCAGGTGAATTTTTTTTTAAGTAGTAGAAACTAATAACTATGAAACTATTCATAGTTTGTCTTGAATCATGGAAATCATATAACTCCAAGACTCTTTTATTCTTTTGATACTTATGCATTATTGCGTGACTATGAAATGCAAATGATAAAATAAGGTAAACATCTGCATACATGAAACACAAAAAAGCAAGAATGGCTGTTTTGTCTTTGGGAAGACTTTCTTTAAGATTAAAATGAACTGGAGGAGACAGATTTTTTTTTTTTAAATGTTAAAAAAAGACATCCCATAAACACTTAACTAGTTCCATGTGCTCTATTAAAAAGTACAATTTTGCTGGAATAACATCCTTTAAAAGAAAAAAAAACAGGAATTGGTACTGATATAGCCATTCTTTTGAAAGTCAAGGCTGGTACTTGTGAGATTTGAGGCTGTTTAAGTTTCTTGGTAACTGGAGGATTTATGGTAGGCTCTCAGACCGTGAACCTTCGCACAGAACCAGCTAACTTTCCCACAGAAGAGGGGAATCAGACAAGCCCCCTATGGGCAAATTATAGGAAACATCACCTATGGGGCAAAAGCTGGCTCTTAACAATGCACAATAGTTATAACACATCTGATACCCTAAATCCCATGGCTTAGTAGTAAGTGTTCTTTTTCAGGGACATCTCTGGCTTTGTGATACGTGTGGTTTCGTTATAGCTACCTTGTGAAAGCAGATGCATTTTGATTAAGAAACAACCCAGTTATCTCAAAATGCTGAGCAATGACTAAATAATCCAAGCTGTAGAACGCTTTAATTTGGTACAATGATGGTTTCTATGTCCATAATTGCTTAGAAACTTACACACCTTCCTCCTATAGTGTTTTTTGAGTTAAGAATTGTAAGTATTCTCATTATGCTTTTTTTCCCCAGTATTAATACTTCTTGCAGCTGGAGTTTCTTCCCTAGTTGCTGGGAAACCATTATTGATTATATGCCCTAGAGAATCTCATAGCCTGACCATGCCTCATAAAGAAAAGGACGTTTTTCAGATTCCAACTCTTTCTCATGGTTCTAAGAAACTTCTACTGAATCCAAGGCAAAAATCATATTGTTCTGCTAAACTATAGCCAAAGCAAGCCCGCAAAACCTTTCTTGTAGGATAAGCTTGATTGGCTCGAATACCTGTTTACCATAAACATCAATGTGCATGCATAAACATCTGTGTGTCATCAGAGATCCTAAGTGTGCATGAGAGCACCGGACCCACTAGATGAAAGTTTACTAAAACTCAGAACTTTTGACAAAGAACAAGGAAAGAACTTATGTTAGAAATTGAAGTGAAACGAGTCTAAGTAGCAAAGAGCTATATGGCACAGTAAGATGACGTCAACTGAAGTTTGTGCTTTATTTGCTTAATATTTGAGTACACTTGTTTTTCAGGGTGAGTCTCAAAGGCTCTTAACTGAGATGGCCAAACACGGGGCTAACAGTTTGGAGAAATGGTGTACTGTTCCTGCTTTCATAGTGTAATGGTGAATGTTCAAAATATGCTTGCTTTCGATTATTGGCACAATCTTTTCTTTTTTCTTATTGATCTATGCTTTATCTATGACTTCTTGTTCGGCTGCTCTTCTGGGCCTAGAGGCAGAGCTTTGGCTGGCTAGTCCCTACCTTCAGAGGGTAAAGAATCCTTCTGAAAGGCAGGGAAATTTGCATCCCGCCCCTCTCCCATTCTCTGAATAACCTCAGGCTAAAACTTCTAAATTCAGGCTGAAGTATGGCTGGACAGTGAAAACTTAGCTTTCCGTCTACCTCTAACATCCGAAGAAGGAGAAACATGCCTTTGTAATGACTGGATGAAAAGTCCATCTGCTTACACTCCATTTCTTCTGCTCTTCTAACCTGCTGCAATTGGAACGGTTCTCTGGGCGTCTTTGGAATGTTGGAGTTTCTTTGCAAATGGCTTAGAGTTTGATGGGCAGATTCGAGCGCTCGCAGAATGTTCTCAGTGACCATGACATGGAAAAACCCTCTTCCTTTTTCCTGCTCTTCTCATGGAGACTTGCCTAAACTAGAAGCATTAAAACCAAAGCAAAGCAAACCAAAGTCTACAGGGCTGTGACTTCTGATCGCTCTGCCAGAGAGAGAGGATGAGACAGAAACAGGAAAGCTCATGCAGCTGCTTGCCCTGCGAACAGAGCAACCGCATGGCAGACATCCCCCTTGGTTACACTAACACTGATCCTCTTCCTGCCCCTGCCTGCATCCCAATGGCTCTTGGAACAGTCCTGCCAAGAGATAAGGTAGCTAGGTAGACAGCAAGGCCTGCTGCTTTAATTCACCTTTGCACCATCAGCAAATCAGGGGCTGGTTTTCCCCAGCACTGGGGTCTCTTCTTCACTTGATGATTAGAAGTTATGGCTCTCTGGATTTCCAAACAATACTTATAGAACCATTGTTGCCTCAGACAACGAGCCAGCTTCCCATAGCAAGTGTCTGAGTGAAGTCTTTCAAAGAGGATTTCTAAACATAGTCCTATGTGTTCCTCTTTTCTGCCAAAAATCCTGATGTGGATGAATTCATTCAGGACCAACAGGGACTGCTTATCATTCCTGTTTTAGTTTGTCCTTGGTTGAACATCCAAGCTGAGAGCCCTCTGATATATTTGGTGGTATGATCACATAGGTGTCCATCAGTGGCTGAGTTGGAACCACCTACCTACATGAACTTAATTTTCACCTTGAAGTGACCCAAGTAACCTTGACTCTGTTTGGTTACAGGCTAGTACTTTATCCACAGAGAACTTTTTGTAACCAAGAAGCAGTCTGTCCCCAGTGCAGGAATCACAGAGCTGCTTGCCTAATGTCACTTTCAGATGTACCCATACACTGGCTTCTCAGCCAAGGGCAGTGCACATGACTAGATCCTCTTACGTCATATCCTAGTATCAGCAAGGAAGCTGTGACCACATTGAGACCCAGGTTAAAGGCCTCTCTCCATAGAGAGTCACCTCTCATTCTGATGTGTTCTCCCTTAAGGAGAACTTAGTTTTGCCAACTCAGACTCTGCTGACCCCAGATGGGAAAGTATGAGCTTTACTATCTGTCCCAGAGGGACAGGCGACTTCTGAGTACAGACATCTCTATCCGCCAGTACAGGAGAGTAGTTATGGCTCACCTCTTACTCCGCCTAAAAGACCTAAGAGGAAAGTTGCCCCTAAGAGGAGACAGGAAAGACCAGTTGCTCCTCCAAAGAAAAGAAGAAGAAAATTACATAGAATGGATCATTATGCAGCGGAAACTCGTCAGGACAAAGTAAGTTTATCTACTGTTCCAAACCTCTGTGGCGGGCAGGTCTGGCTTAAAGGCTGCCTTTGGTGCCTTGGTTTGAAAATCGTCTGGGTAAGGTTTAAGAGAACTGCTGTGTTCTCCTTGGCTCTGAGTCTAGTATCATCTGGTACTTTAGAGGTTAACAGTGATGTGAAGACATCTTGCACTTTCAGTACCATAGAAAAAAAAGGGGGTCTTTGATCTTCTTTAAAGTTAGTTGACCCCAAACGAATGAATGGATGTTGCCATTCAGGCTGTAGTGACAGCTTAGAGAGCTATTGATTCTGCCTGGGGAAAAAAAGTCACTGTGATTTCTTGTGCTATCTATTGAGAAGAATCTCAGAAGCTGGTAGGGCAAGTCTTTTAAAAGAATGCAGATTAGAACTCAATAAAAATGCTGACTTTGGTTAGTGGGGTATACTTTCTGAGCTCAGGAGAGGTCTTGTGTGGACAAGAGAAAACTATGGGCAGACAGAGCTGCATATTTTTTTTTCTCACAGTGGTAGTAAAAGAATTTACTTTTAACATTTACATTCAAAAGAACCTTTGCTTATTCATTCTCTCAAAACCTTCAAATTCCTGTGAGGCAGATTCTTTGTTGTGAACCTGATTGCCAAGAAGTTAAGTTCTGGATTTTACCTGAATTGTCCCATTGAATGAAGGAAAATAACTCAGGGCCAAGGATAGACATGTGTTATGCATTTCATGTTTCTATGTCTAGACATGGATCTTGGAGGACAGTGTGTTTCCCAGACAAATACCACTTAGACGCACATCTGTTAGTCCCTTCAGGTTCTGTGGCACATCTCATTCTGCAACTCTCAGTTGTGATTTGAAATGCCAGAGAAGAAAAGAGGCCTCTCTACCTTGTTTCACGGATGGAATGATACAAGCCGAGAAGATTCACATGGCAGATGCCATGATGCATTTGAATGGAAATGATGTTCAAGCTTCTTCTTTCCATCTTGGTTATCTTGGATGTATGTCTGTGGTTGTTGACTGAGCTGTGAAATCCATCTAAACTAGTGTTTGGTGTTTGTCTGCTGGGAGGTTTCTTAAAACTTTCTGTTTCATGATGAGAGATGAGACCCCGAAGGCAATCTTATGTTATATCTCCTGTTGGAGCTATAGTGAGAGATGGTGGATCGTGTTTCTTGGGCTTTGGAAATGTTGCTTGGAGAAGAATTGGGAATTTATACTTGATTAGTCTAACTAGAAGGAATTCCGAGGCTCATTGTTGTTTGTTAGGATTCTTGTCCCTTCTTATTTAATCTGCACGAAAACAATGAAGTTGAGAAGCAGTAGCTTGTCCTGAGGATGGCTCCACAATTGGTTGCTCTCTGAGGTTGGCAGTTATGGTCTTTGGAACAAGGGACACGAATCTTGTTTTATTAACAATGTTCTAATTCATTTCCCAGGAGGTGATGATTTTATCCTCCAGTCTTTATGCTTTTGATTCCCTCAGCTTCTCTCTCTCTCTCTCTCTCTCTCTCTCTCTCTCTCTCTCTCTCTCCCTCCCTCCCTCCCTCCCTCCCTCCCTCCCTCTCTCTCCCTCCCCCGATCATTCTGGTGATTTTACACAGAGAAAAAGGGATTTACACTCTCCATCTGACTTTTTACTCACTCTTAAAACTCTTGGATTTACAGAATATGATTACTTTATGGAAAAAACATTTTGTACCTCAAAAAGGATTTACCTCAGTAATTTGTGATATTTTCATATCAAAATATTTCAAAAGGGATGGGTTAAGGAAGCTTTTTATTCTCGCAAGCGATTGCAAGGTACTTACAGACTATTACCATTAAAAAAAAAAAAAAGGAAAATATTTCCTTGACAAAACTCTGCCTCTGGGCCAGAAGTTTTCTTTCCAGAATGTTCTAAAAGTAGAAGAACTATGGAAATTGTAAGGTAAAAATACATAAATAAATACGTGAGGACTGACTTGCTTTTTACAGATGACAAATCCTCTGAGAGAGATTGACAAGACCGTGGGGCAGTTAATGGACGGACTGAAACAACTTAAGCTGCACCGTTGTGTGAATGTTATCTTTGTCGGAGACCATGGTAAGGATTCATTTTTATTTTGCTTTTAAGACAGAAGCTTCACAGAATGGTGGTGTTGGTACATGCCTTTAGTCCTAACACTTGGGAGGCAGAGGCAGGATCTTTGTGAGTTTGAAGCCAGGCTATAGAGTTAATTTCAGGACAACTAGAGCTATACAGTGAGACACTGTCTCAAAAACCAAAAACCAAACCAACCAAGTAAACTGAAAAGATAGAAGTTTCCCAGGGTGTTGAACAAAGGAACCCCTGCTCTCTGAGTCCAAAATTCTGTTCTTAACTTCCTTTTTCCCCTTTGCTTCAGGATGGGGAAAGAAATTAGGTCATGACACAAAAGTTAGAGAGACACGTGGGGGGGGGGGATTTCTTCATCCTCATGTTCTTTGTAGGAGAGGCCTTGCTGCAAAAATCTGTCTCCTATTAAAGTCTCTCAGACAGTTTACATGTGGTAGGAATGGCTTCCTCTGTGAATTCAACGTGGCAGGTGACAGACTCCTGCCTCTGTGAACCATGTCTCCAGAAGGAGTATACAAAGTTGAGTAGCTAAAATAATAATTCTAAGTATGTAAACGAGCTAGAGATGTAAGAGTCTTGTCAAAAACATAGCATTTTAGAGAAAATGGTTTCCTGGAGCTCGCAGAGGGAATCCAAGGCCAAAATCAAGGGCTCAACACAGGAAACTTATTAAGAGAAAGGATCAGTGTAGAAAGTAGCCTGTTCTCCCTCTCTTCCTCCTCCCTTTCTCTGTCCCTCCTCCTCTTTTCCTCCTCTTTCTTTCCTTCCTTTCTCCCTCCCTCCCTCCCTTCCTCCCTTCTTATTTCCTTCCACTATGTAGCCCAAGACATATCAGTCTTCCAGCTCCTGGGACTGTAGGTGTGCACCACCATGCCATCAAAGAAATGATTTCTCTAAACTACTTCTTAAATTAGAAAAACATTCTTTTTTCTCATGAGCATTTTGTGAGACGTTTGAGAGACCATAAACATCTCATGTGATTGTAGAGCTAAGGGCCTCAGGGAACATCTGAAATATATATTTTTTACTCAACCTTCCCCCTAACCCCTCCCAGATATAACCAGCCTCCCTGTCTCTACCACTTCTTCTCATCCTTGTGTCTTTTTTAAAAAAATAATTTACTAAATCAAATTTGTGCTACTCATATATCCAAGACTGTGGGGCCATCTATTGGAACGTGGTAGACTTACTGGGGTTTACATTCTTATAGAAAACTGATTCCCCCTCCCCTAGGACTCTCTGTCAGTAGCTCTTCAGTTAGAATGGGGGCTCATGTTTCTTTCCCGTCTCATCACTGTTTCTCTTTTGCCCTGACACCATCTCTAGCTCTACGTTGCTTTACCCTGTCTTCTGCATTAGTCTCTGAGTATTTGGGAAAAGGTTGTGATATAGATGTTCCCTTTATAGCTGAGCACTCCAGAAACTTAGTTTCTGCATTTTGTCAAGTTGTGAGTTTTTAATTGTTGTTCATTGCACAGCAAACCAACCAACCAACAAACAAACCCTGATGAGGTCTAAGAGCTGCACTAATCTGAGATATAGAGGACAGTTGTATACTATGTTCTCTTAGCTAACTAATAACAGTTGGTTTACCCCTGGATCATGTTCTTGTGGCCAGATTGATATTATCAAACATGTTTCCTCCTATCAAGCAGGCCTGAAATCCAAGTAGAGAGTGACTGATTACCCTCATACCATTCATGCTACTGTTACATCCAGGGGCTGTCTTGCCACACTGCTCCTTGTAGTTGACAGGGTTCACAGCTGAGTGAGACTGTTGATTCTTTTTTTTTTTTTTAATCATAATAGTCTGCGTAGCACCTTCTGGTAGTCTGAAATCTAGTCGACAGGAAGAGAACTTCATATTCGGTACCAACTGAGTTTTCAGAGAGCATTTTAATTCAGACATGTAGACTCAGTTCTAGAGAGTGTCATCTAAGTTCTGAAACTATCAACCTGTAAATTATAGTAATGACCTTGGAGTTGGGGGTCTTTCCATTTTAGTAGAGTGTAAAAAAATTGATTGACTTCTTGGGAGTTCTGTTAATAATAGTGAACCTTCCTAGCTCTATTTTGGCTCCTGAGATTTTATTTCCAGAGCATTCTAGAAGATCTGAGAAACTGGGGTAAGAGGTGGGTTTTGTGGATGCTAACTTGCTTCCCCAAGTAGATTAAATGATACCCTCTGTAAGATCATTCTCTACTAGTTTGGCTTAGTGGAAAGTTGTAGACTGGGTGGAAATGGTAAGCATATGACACACTAATTCAATTTAAGTTGCCCAGAAGTGTGGAGAACATTAGCTCACATGCTAGCGGCAGACATCTAAGGGCCCAGTAAGTCACATGTCAGAGCACCAAAAAGGTCACATGCAAACTAAAACCCGGTTCTTAATATGCAGATTGCTAAAAGGAATGGCTCCATTAGTTTTGGAAAGCCAAGGCACCTCTTTTTCTGAAAGGTAGCTTGCCTACTATTTCAGGCCTTGGGTTTTGACAGAATGAATTTCAATAGACCTCAGATCACACCATGACTCTTGAGAACATTGGATATTGTATGTAATCCGCCTTAGCAATTCTCAGTCCTTCATGGGCAGACTGAAAACACTGGCTCCACACAGGTGAAGTCAGCCTGGAGGGGAGGAGATACTAGAGGAACCCTGGGCACATTTGCCTAATGGTCGGTATAAGCAAGGGTGATTGCTCAATGTTGGAACTGCAGAAGTGACAGTGTTGAAATGTCACAAATAGAAGATTCTTTCCATCTTCCATTCATCTGTTTTTGGAGCTTTTTTTCCCCCTTTCTGGGGTAATGTTTTACTAGAACATAAAACTGTTTATTTTAACTTTGTCATCTGGAAAGTTTCCATGTCAAAAGAAAAGACATATGATTGTGTTATGTTAAAACATGTTTTGCTCTTTCTTCATGCTAATTGATATTAAGAAATAGAAAAGGAAGACCACTGAGATGGCTCAGTGATTAAAAATGCTTGCCATGTGAGCCTGGTGATCTGAGTTCAGGCCCTGGAATTGCTGAAAAAGTACAGAGAGAAAACAGAGTTCATTGAGTTGTCCTCTAACTTCTACATGTACACTGTGGCACCCTTTATTATGAATGTACACAACAATAATAAATAAAATTTTAGAAAGAAAAAAAGATCTGGGGTCTTCAGAAGTGGTAATTTGACTTGTAGCAGATCTCAACCACTCTGGATTACATTTCTTTACTCTAGAACCTTAAGACTTTTTACAAAATCATTTATTTTCCCTCTTAGAGAATATTAACATACTAGATTATACAAGGCAATTAAGTGGTCTCTCTCATTCCAAGGAAAATATGTTCTAAGACTCCTGGTAGATGCCTGAGACTACAGATAGTACTAAACACTATGTGTCTATCATTTCTGATACATTCATAATTGTGATAAAATACCATTTATAAATCTGACATAGTAAGAAATTAACAATAATCCATAGTGATAAAAATATATTTTCTGATTGATAAAAAAATCAATTAGAGTATGCTATATCTTTTATTGAATATTTTATTTATTTACATTTCAGATGTCATCCCCTTTCCCCACCTCCCTGAAGCCTCGTATCCCATCTCCCCTCCTCCATTTTGCTTTTATACCATTTTAATTACATGCAAGTATTAAGGTCAGTTCTAGGTTGAGGAACTAGCAATAGGATAGATGTAAATAGTCAAGGAACAAGCAAGACAATATACACAAATAGTCAAAGAACAAGCAAGGCAATAAACAAATTTCTGTGATCACTCCCATGATCACTGTTTCTAAGGGCTTATCAGGATGACCAAAATATCTGAGCTTACTTCCCTGTCCTAGTCCAAAGTCATTTTCTAGTCTGAAGCCTACTTCTTTGTTCTAGACTAAGATTTAGATTCCTGCCTGAACTTACTTCTTTGTTCTAGCCTAGTGTCAGATTCCTGCCTGAAGCCCATTTCCTTGTTCTTGGTCAATGTCAGATTCTTGCTAAGCAGCCCCGAACGTTCTCTGCCTCTCCCACCTTTTTATTTTATAAACAAGACTGACCCTGTCTTAGATCATTCTGACAAGAATGCCTTCCTTGCCCATTGTGGAATATGTATTATCAAAAGCAATGCATTTCTGTCTTAGGTTGGTAAGGCTCTGTGCAGAATCTTACCCATCCTTGGCTAACCAGCCTATTAAATTAATAACTCTGTCTGGGGGTTCGTTTTGAGTTTCAAGCCATGTACTTTGGCTGTCAATATGTTGATGTTGTTAAAGACAAGCTTTAACATGATGAGCAGGACAAAAAGGGCTAGCATGCTCAAGCTATATATGCCATTCTTGAAGCTTGACAAAAATAGAAATACTGACCTCAGACAATTTCATCAGCAGTATTTGCTGCATCAACGCTCAGCAGAGCAGCATTCTTTGAATTCATAAGCTCACTATGCAAAGTTAAACATCCAGAGAGGTGTTAGAATTATGCCAAATACACTGTAAGTATCTTTAAACTTTTTCCTAATTATAATGGCTATCATTGTAAGTTTTAGAAGTAACACAAATACAATGGTATTTGGCATAACATTCGAGATGGTATTGGTATTGGCTCCTTAGTCTTAAATAGAGTATGCTGTATTAAGAGTTAGAACTATGACTGTTCTTAGCTACCTTGGCTAAATGGATGACTTTCATCTTGAGTAAAATGAAACAGGCTAGCAATTAACTTCATTATCTTATTTAGAATGGAAATTATAAGTTATTTGTTTTTGAAATTTTCTAGTAATTAGTTTTTTTTACTTGAAAACTAGAGCTTCAGAGAGTAAGGCCATAAGAATGGGTTGTCACCAGTTGTTGGCGGTGACCTCTCTACTGCAGATGGTCACTGTTCTGAGTTAACTTGTGAATTCTAAAAATCTCTATGGGATTTAGATCTGTAGTGCTGCTAGAGTCTATAATCTTGGAATTTAAATTAGTTTTCAAAATATTGCAAATTTCCCTTCCTCTAGAAGACAGAAAACAAATTTAGGGGTAGGAATGAATAATCACTAGTTATTTTTTTTCTCACTAGACTTTTTCTGTGTGATAGATGCTACCCTTCCAGTTCCAGTGATCTTGTTTAAAACTTTTTTTTTTTAACGCAGTGTTTTGTTTTTCCCTTTGGGTGGTCATTTGGAATGACTTCAGTTTTCTTTCCCCCATTTCTTCTTGCCAGTATTGTTTTGTCAGTAACACCCAAGGCCACCAGTGAAGATGGTGACGTGATTATATCCTTAAGGCAGGGGACATTCTAGAAAGAAAGAGAGCAGGAACAGGAAATAGCATTGTTTAAATGTGCGTGTGCGTGTGCGTGTGCGTGTGCGTGTGCGTGTGCGTGTGCGTGTGCGTGTGTGTGTGTGTGTTCAGAGGCATCAGATCCCCCTGGAGCTGGAGTTATGGGCAGCTGAAATTGGTTTGACTGGGTTCTAGGAAGTGAACTCTGATTCCCCTCCAAGAACAGTATGTACTTTTAACCACGGAACCATCTTTCCAGCCCCAGAAATGTAATTTTGCAAAATGGAAGTAGAAGTCCATGTTCCAGTCATTTGTGCCACCCTCTCCATTACCCTAATGGCAACAGATTCAAGCAATTAAAGAATAATCTTTTTCATTATGAGTGTCAATAGTTTGTGGTTTTCAAACATTATCTTATTTATCTATTTATTTATTTTGAGAGAGAGAGAGAGAGAGAGAGAGAGAGAGAGAGAGAGGATAGCACTCATGTAGAAGTCAGAATAGAATTTTTGGGAGTCAGTTGTTTCTCAGTGCCATAATGGGTTTCAAGGATCAAACTCAGGTGGTGAGGCTTGGGGATAAGCACTCTTACCCACTGAGCTGTCTCACTGGACTTTAAACATGGCTTTTGGTGTTGCTGTTCTTGCTCAATAACTCAAAGTAATAACCGAGGTGACACATTTTTAACCTGTATTACATGTGGGATGATGTGATTAAATGAATGTGCTAGAGAAAGAGTGTATAGATACATCTTTAAAATGTCACATCAGAACAATCTCAGCTGTGATATTTCCTCGAATTTGCTGGAATCTGATTAGAGATTTAATTAAATGTTACAATGCTATCTTTAGTGAATGTACTTTTGTTTTTTTAGAATTTTAATTTTAATACTGCCTGACAGTACTTGTGTGTGTGTGTGTGTTTGTATGTGTATGTTTTTCATCCCCACAGGAATGGAAGATGTGACATGTGACAGAACTGAGTTTTTGAGCAACTATCTGACTAACGTGGATGATATTACTTTAGTGCCTGGAACTCTAGGAAGAATTCGATCCAAGTCTGTCAATAATCCTAAATGTAAGTTAGTCCTGAAAATATTAAGTTGAACTAATAATGGAAGAAGTAATGTTCTCTGCAGCTAGAAAGCTTGGGCAAGAAATCCTAGTTGAGCTTCATTTAACTTTCTGATCTGTTGATAGAAGACTTGTTACCTATGAAGACTTTTGTGCACATCAGCATGTGCTGTTTATAGTGGTTTTGAGCAGAGCATCATCTACTGAACATTTGCATTTGGTTTTATCACGTGGGAATTGCACTTAATTTTATGCTTGTTTACAATATAAGGATCTAGCTGTATGGGAGAGTTTTCGAGTTTCAAAGGCAGGCTGGTCACTTTGGTGAAGGTAAGTCTCTGGGTTGACAGAACCAATGGCCTTCCCGTCAAATTTCCTATGTGCCTCCTGAAAGGAGGGCTCTTTCTAGTTGTCAGAGTGATCTACAGAGTAGAAGAGAGGAAAAATACTGTGTTCTTACAGACTGTTAACTACTCTGAAAAATTAGAAATTGAAAAAAATTAACTAGAACATTATGAGCCTTTGCTTTAACTTGCTTAGCAGTACTTCTGGTTTGTCTTCCTGTCATCTCAATTGTGAAAACTACATAGCTCTTTTTAATTATTATAAAGTCTTTTTCATCACACACACACACACACACACACATCAGTTATATCTGGTATTATATTATATAAGGATATCTTCATATGAGCACATATATTTTATATTTATAAGCATATATATAGTTTGACTTGAGACATACTATATTAAAATAGAACCTCAAAATAATAAACCATGGACATGAAGCTTAAAGCTTTGGAAACTTAAGTTTTTCCTGAGTTATGCTCCTAAGTTGACAAAGTTATATTCCTAAGTCGACACAAATGGGACACATTCCAGGGTCAATGTTGTGAAATCAGCAAAATATTGGTGTTTCTTCCTCTTTTTCCATGTGCTTTTCTGTCCTTTGTTGCCTCAGTACCTTTGCTCCCTTGAACTGGAGGGCAAGCATCTTTATTTTTAGCATCTGCATTTTAAGGTGTATGTGCAAATTTGCAAATCTATTTGAAACAGAATTTCTGACATCAGTAAATTGAGTAGATTTACTGGGGAGATTGAATAGATGAGAAACTTTGTTAGGGGCCTTTGGAATCATACTACCTCTAGTGAAATATTTATGCTCTCCATTCATTTTGAGAGACAGTGAGCTGGTCCATGAAAAACGCAATGGTGACCCTATACTGTTGTTCACACTGCAGCTCTTCCAAGCTCCCATTGAGACACGGGAGAAGCATCGTTAACACACTGTGCCTCAGGTTCCTCATGCATAGACTAAGGATTGTGGGGATGATTAAATAAGAGACAGTGTAAATATAATTACATTGTATTTAATCTGTAGTCCATGCTATATGTTGAGTACAAAGATGAGGTCTTGGCCTTATTATTGTTTCAGCTGAATATAGACACAATCTTATTTAATTCCTCCAGTATCCTTATGGGATATGTATTGTCATTATATTTATAGACAGAAGTTAAAGGCAGAGAGAGGATTGAAGGAGCTAGCTCAGAGGGTGACAGTAAGTGGCAGAGCTCCAATTGGAACCCTGATTTGCTGATTCTTTTAAAAAAATTAAATTGCATTTGCTTATTTTGTTCATAGGTATGTATGTATGCACAGACACACAATAGTGCTATGTGCCCTAACATGTATGGAGGTGCAAGGAAAACTCGTGGGAGTTAGTTTATTCCTTCCACTATGTCCTGGGAATGAAAGTCAGGTTGTCAGAAATGGTGGCAAGTACTTTACTGGCTGAAGCAACTGGTCAACCTCAATTAGCTGATTCTTAATCACTTCATCCTTTCCGCCCTCCCAGTGGCCTGGGTAGCAGGAAATGATGATGAGTTTAGGTGTGAAGAACTGATGTCTCAAACATATGCCTTTGGCATTTCCTAAGAATTCTCTGGGAAGTGTCTGAGGCTGAAGTGGCCCTGTGTTTTTTGATTTCTCTACACCAGCAGTTCTCATCTTGTGTGTCCCTACCCCATTGGCAAGCCTCTATCTCCAAAAATATTTACACTGTGATTCACAACAGTGGCAAAATTACAGTTATGAAGTAGCAATAAAAACAATATTTTGGTTGGGGATCATGACATGAGGAACTGTATTAAAGGGTTGCAGCATTAGCAAAATTGAGAACCGCTGCTCTAAACTATCAAAAGAGATGGATTTATTCTGTTTAGTCCCTGTGAAGACTATGTTTCACAAGGCCAAAGAGTGTAGAGGTTCAGAGCATGGCTGGCTCAGTGAGACTGTGTGTTGTGCTCCAGTGTGCAAGCCCCCTTACCTTCTAAAACTAATTGGCTGATTGAAGATTCGGGTCATCCTGTAACCTGGTATCATTTTGAACAAATGATCATAGAAGTGTCTCCAAAGCTCTTAGAGAGAAATGGGTGCACAGCATGGACTCAGGTTATGATTGCCACGATCGCTTGCTTGCTACCCATTAAATGCAGCTATCAAAATTTGAGTAGAATGGGGTTTACATTTTACCTTTCCATTTCAGAGCTTTAGGACTAAATTTCTAAAGATGGTACATTTTCCACAAATATGAACAATTGCAGATATTTATCTAGTACTTACTAAGCACCAAGCACTAGAGACTAGAGCAGTCAAACAGTCAAACACACACACACACACACACACACACACACACACACACACACACACGGGCAGCTCCACTAATGTTTCTGGGCTAGGGAAGGCTGCACTGGGGGAGCTGGGTCTCCTCTGAATACTGCTCTTCCCTTTCTCTTGATTCTATAATGACATACTGAATGCCCTTTTATTTTGCAAACAAACAGCCTATAATCTCTTTTTCCATACAATCCCCACAGAGGGGCACCTTGACCATAAGATCCAGTACATACACAGACATCTTCACCATACTTTAGGCTAGTTCCGAGTGTAGGCTGAAATAGTCTTTGTCTCCTGGCAGTGAACACACACACATACACACACACACACCCAAGAGGGTACACACATGTAAGCCTACAGCTGCAAAGGAGTGCTCACCTATGTAATTATACCTATGATATCACCACAGAAACTGCTTATTTGCTGCATTAGAATCTCATCTCGCCATGATTGGTGGCTTGTTCCAAAGCATTGCAGAGAAACAGGAAGGGATGATGAAAGACCCCTAAAAATGACCAGTTCAGTTCCTGGCATGAAACTGCCAATAAATTCATGTGAGGGCTGCACAGAGATCTGTTTGGGAAAAATTGAAGCAAGTTACCTAGCAGTACTCTTTAGCTTTGGAAGGAAGACTTCCTTTCTAGACAAGGAGCCTGGCATTGTGCATTGCAGATTGCTGTGGGCTTTGTGCCACTGGTTTAGCTACCTCTCTGTTATTGAAATATGAAACACCTACACCCAGTTACACATCTGTTCAAAATGATACTCAAAGAAGTGGAAGCATCAGGTCTCTGTAAAAAAAAAAAAATCACTTTTCTCTGTTACTATGTTTTGAAATCTTTCTCCCTTTCTCTGCACAGATGACCCTAAAGTCATCATTGCTAACCTCACGGTAAGTGTTGCAAGGTTTCTGCCCTTGGAGCAGCTTCGACATGCTCACCTTCCCATGTTTGCCTTCCTGGTGGGTGGTTAGGAACATTTTACTCACTGACCTGCAGTCCTGTGTATTTGTTTCTCCTAAGCTTTCAAAACTTCTGGACCGAGGTCAACTGTAGACTCTCCCCAATGGTCTTGGCGATGATCCAAACTGAGGCTTTGTTCTTCTTATTAAGCTGAGCAGTATTTGCTCATGATTAATCAAATCTTTACTTACTCTCAAACAGATCTACCCCCGTCTTCTACTTCCCCCTGGTCCCAGATAGAGACTTCAAAGCCCTTGAGCTTATCATCAGATAGGCCTGCACATGTCTACCCCTCTCCTCCCACTGTGCCTCCCACTCCTTGATTTGAAGCAGTTGGGAAAGACCTTGAGTTTTAAACTGTCCTCAGTCTTGGGCTCAAGAGTCAGGAATTAATCTTAAGAATTCTTCACCCCTCTGATAGCCTATGACTTATTTCTAAAGTTGTCTAACTCCCTTGAAACCTATTTGCTTTTAGGATACATTATTTAATAAGGGGTAACAAGTTCCATTTGTTTAGTAACCATCCTTTTGTTGGGCTAACACCATTTTCACGAGACAGAATAGGGCTTTTTTTTTTTGGTAGAAAATCTCCCTCCATAAGACCAATATTCACTTATATTTCAGTGTAAAAAACCAGATCAGCACTTTAAGCCTTACATGAAACAGCACCTCCCCAAACGTTTGCACTATGCCAACAACCGGAGAATTGAGGATATCCATTTATTGGTCGACCGCAGATGGCATGTTGCAAGGTAACAAGGGGAGCCTGTCTCCATCTTTGCAAGTACCTATGTGGCACCTGGAAATCCTTTAAGGTTCTTGGTCATCATTAAGAGAAATCTGGGCTGGAAATTTCATTGTTTAAACAGTGTGTGTGTGTGTGTGTGTGTGTGTGTGTGTAGTAGATAACTCATGAGAATAGAAAGAACCACATTTCTAGTTCCTGCATCTTTTTTTTAGTTTTCATCCATCACTGTGCAGAAGTTTTACTCCTTGAACAACTTGAAATACAGGTAGGGTCTTGCTGACGTGGTCCTGGTTGATGTGATTGGATGTAGTAGTGTTTGTGGAAAGCCCCTGTAAATGTTAATCTTGAAACCTCTATTGCTGTGAACATGCCTTGCGTTTGCTCAAGATGTGACTGGTGTTTGCCTCAATCAAAAGTCTCTCTCGATCAGGTGACCACTCTTTCCTTTGGAATCTGCTGGGGAGCATGTCTGGGGGCTCTGTTACTTCTACAGAGTCACAAATTGAGTCATTTTTATGTAGACCTGGAAGTAGTGTTTTCTCAGTCATTCTTATTCTATCTCTGATTACAAGACCAGTGTCATGAGTATGCCTGTAGTACTAATTGAATAATTACGATATGTACTTGAGCTGGCCAATAGTTTATAAGTTAATAGCTAAGCACAAGAAGATTATGAAAAGGCTGGCCTTCTAGAAACGTGTGAATATAAAACAGACACACACACACCATGTAATCTCCTACTGTACTGTAAAAGAACCAAAGAGTGATATGAAATCCAGAAATTATTGGAACCACGTATGATAGACAAAAATTTACATAGAAATATTTCATAAAAGACATGTCCTAAATAGCCTGACTGACTGTATCTTCTGAAGGATCTTTAATGCTGGGGGCACTTAGGGAAATTAAAAAAAACCTTGAAGTTGTTTAGTTTATATGGAAAGGTATTTTGGAGCAGATGTTAAATGAGATGATACCAGTTGAGCAGTTTAGTGAAGAGCAAAGGCAGGTACTAAATTCTTTGAAGTTCTGCCTTGCATTGTTGAATTATTATACATACATATTACTAACCTAAGTCCAAGTTACTGTTGGGTAGAAACCAACTTGTTAGATTTCTTTATTTTCCCCAAATGCTATTCTTCAGTGTTATGTGCCCTGCCTATTCTTAGGCAATACTCATATTAATAAGCATCAACATTTTTGATGATAGAGAAGCCATAAAAATTTATGTAAAGGGGTCTTTCTGTCACAAAGGTAAGAGTAAATGGTCATGATGTCTTGCAAGCAATATTTTCATCCCTTCCCCACTTCTAAATAGATTTTCTAGGTGAGGTCAGGCTTTTGTTAACTATACTATGGTTAGTGTTAAATTGACCACTTCATGGACTCTGGTTTTTATTATCCTACCAGGTAAGTTTACATACAAATATTTTTATAGAATGCAGATCTCTACAAATTGATTCAACATTGCATATTTTAAAATGCCTCCTGTGTTTTGGGACTGAGCTGTGTGAGCACATAGCAGGGAGAGATATTCTGTTCAGTCCAAGTGTGAGGCATAGAGAGGACTTTGACTCCTTTTCAGAACTTTCCCTTTAACCTGGGGTAATAAGCAAAGCCAGGACACTAGAGAAATGAACAGACATCCCTTGTCATCGCCATGGGAATGATGTAATCAAAACAGAGAGACTTGGCTTCAGATCTTTTCAGGGATCCTATGTACCTCTAAATTTGCTTTCTATCAGCATGCTTTGTGGCAGAATCCTAACTAGTCATAAAATTGTTTTAATGTAGGAAACCTTTGGACGTTTATAAGAAGCCGTCAGGAAAATGTTTTTTCCAGGGTGACCACGGCTTTGATAACAAGGTCAACAGCATGCAGGTATGTCTACAAAACTGAACTGAAATTGAATTTCATAATTCTCAGGGCAGGGTGGGAATCATGGGCTTTGTGAAGCTGTAGGGAATTAAGACACAGAAGAGATGCTATTTGTAGAAGCATAAATGGTTAACTGTGTTTTCTCTTCTCTTCTCTTCTCTTCTCTTCTCTTCTCTTCTCTTCTCTTCGAAGACTGTTTTTGTAGGTTATGGCCCAACTTTTAAGTACAGGACTAAAGTACCTCCATTTGAAAACATTGAACTTTATAATGTTATGTGCGGTAAGTCACTTGTTCAATCAAACCTGGTGAAACTTTTGGTCAGTGAATTTCCTTTCTGCTAGAGAAAGAAATGAGGTGTCTATTTTCTAAGACCTCTCCCTGCAAGAAAAAAAAAAAGTAACTTGCCCATTGGTTCAAAGGACAGAATGTCACCCCCTTCTAAGGCTTCTTTGTGTTCCTTCAACAGTTGACTAATGGGGAGTTTTCATAGTGTTGGTGTTGGCAGCCTTTGGCTGATCTAACATAGCATTACAGTTTGACACCGTTGGTCAGAGACACGATGAAGCAAGAGTTCCACGCAGACAGAACGTTCTCCCACCTCCCTCTCTTACATTGCAGCCCAGTGAAAAATTTGCCAGCTTGCATCCCAGCCAGCTATTTATATGCTCCTAATTATTTTTCTTCCTTGAGCTTCTCCTTGCTGAATGAGGACAGCTTTTCCTATTTAGTAAGGGAGTGCCAGTCTGGTGGTTAGAGGGGGAGTCTGAAAGTCGGGTCTCCAGGGTTCTTTTTCCCAGGTTGGCTGCTAGCTCTTCACTGTCCTGTCTCTTAGCTTAGGCAAGTCACTGTGTGCCCACTTGGCAACCATTCAGTTGCTGTGAAATCAGCCCGTTAATCCCTTGGTGGCCCATCAAGGCATATTGCCAAAGCCTCTTCTTGTCCTCACACTTTTGTGGAGTGCATTAAAGGGCAGGCTGTGGGTATTTACTGATTATGTCTTAGTTCAAAATTTGGCTTTAAAAAGTCAAGAAGAAGTCTAGAGGGGCAATGGTACCAACAAGGTCACACACATTGACAATGGCTGAGTGAACCATTGTACTACTCCAAGTTTTTGAGGATGACTATTCATGTATACACAGTTCTGCTTGCATGTATGCCTACAGGCCAGAAGAGAGCACGAGATCTCATCATAGATAGTTATGAGCCACCATGTGGTTGCTGGGAGTTGAACTCGGGACCTCTGGAAGAGCAGCCAGTGCTCTTAACCACTGAGCCATCTCTCCAGCCTCAAGGAGGATGACTATTCATGTTCTAGCAATGAAGAGAAGTGTTATTTCTAGAAGTGTGGGCAAGGCATTGTGAAGTCAGAATGGTTCAGAAGATGTGGAAGGAATGGCTGACGTGACAGTTTAGCTCCACTTGTGATTTGTGTTCAATATTTATAGGCTGCTGGAATGTGATAGGTTTTGATTCTTACCTTATCTCATCAGAGAACAAATAAGAAACACTGCATCCTTTTCTTTCCATCAGATCTCCTAGGCTTGAAGCCAGCTCCCAATAATGGAACTCATGGAAGTTTGAATCACCTACTACGCACAAATACCTTTAGGCCAACCATACCTGAGGAAGTCAGCAGACCCAATTACCCAGGGATTATGTACCTTCAGTCTGATTTTGACCTTGGCTGCACCTGTGATGATAAGGTAGAGCCAAAGGTAGAGATAATCTTTATGCTTTATCATGGAGATGTTTGTTTTTGTGTACAAAGCATTCTTCAGTAGAACTCTCTGAGTAGAGTTGATTTCTGACTCCACTATCTAAAATGGAGCCAGTGACTGGTTATGACTTTATTTTACTTTATTGTTTTAAATTTGTTTCGTATACTGAATAGGGTATGTGGCTAACATGTTAGACAGTGCAGGTCTGGAGAATGAAGGGTCAAAAATGTTATTTTCTAAATTCACAATATATAGTCAGAAGCAGGCTCTTTTACACAATTGTGGATTTCCAGTGATTCATGGTGAGCCATGAATATCAATGATTTGTTCATAGATAGCTATGTCAAAAATGGTTTTGAAAGACCCTCAATAGTTTAAGGGAATTGGGAGAACTATTTGCAAAACCTGGACAGGGTAGACGGAAATCATTGGGAAATGGGCATTGCTCTGGAACTAGCAGACTACCTTCTAAGGCCTGAAAGGTGAGGGCAGATAGAGAATTACTAGGGAGATTGGCAGGGGAGAGGGAAGGAGGAAGTGGGGAGGAAGGGGAGAATTGTGTTTGTTAGAAGACTGAAGCCTAACCGCCGTGACCTGTGACATGGAAGTATAACACTAGGCTCTGTTTCCTCTACTTGGCTCTAGCTGTCTTCCATGGTAGAGCCTGACTGTAAGCCAAAAGACAAGGTTATTCTCTACTGCAGTCCCTAAATCTCACCTTTCTTGGTCAGCAGGGTGAGGAAGGTACAGGATGGTGTGTCCTTGAAAACATACCACTAGCCTTTTTAGATACAAAACATCAACATCCACAACAAAATCAAAACAATAATTTAAGTATTAAGTATTAAGCAATAATTTGCTTATTGAGTTTTTTTTTAAGTTAAGATTTTTATATCTACCAACCAGTGCTCCTGTTAGCAGAAATGAACCAGTGTTTCCACAGAACTGAAACGATGCCTGTACAGATCAAAGGTGTTGGTTCATTTTTATATGCTGTTTAATTATAGGTAAAAGGATGAATTTTTTCTTAGCCTCTGAAAAGTGGATAATAATTCTCCTATTACGCAGTGTCCTTTTATTACCATTTACCTCCTCCCAGGATTCCTAGGGGCATCGAAGCTACAGTTTGGTGGCTCTAGAGTGAGAGGAATAAGTTTTTTCTCTTCCTTTCCATTTCTGGATTCACCTCCTTCCTACCTTTGCTCTTGATAAGAATCTGAGAGGCTAATAAATGAAGGGAAGGCAACACTCAGAAGCCAGGGGCATGAGGCTGCCCAAACCAATAAAAACCAACTTACCAAGAGGATCACAGATAAGTTTAGAGGACTCTATAGTTACATTTGTTCTCTGTATGACCTTTAGTATAGGCGTATTTTGAATATATTGACAAAGTATGTTACATAAATTTAGCATTAAAGGGTTTCTCAAAATATCTAGTTTTCCTTCCTTCCTCCCCCTACGCCATCTTCTTCTACAGCACTGCATTATTTGGGATTCTGAAAGTAGTGTGTACTTCTCATGCCTGACTCTGTATATTTCCCTTTCATATATATGTATGTATATGTATATATATATATATATATATATATATATATATATATATATATATATGAAAAAATATATATGTGAAAAAGTGTACATATATATGTATATACACACATATATGAAGTATCTTAAAGTAACCTATGGTATAATTTTGCACATGAAAAATTTTAATATGGCTGCTGTTGTAGGTTTTGGATTCTGTAACTTTTTGATTCATCATTATTTCTGAGATAAGATACATTTTTGTGTATTATTATATGAACCTGTAGCTCATATTTTTATAGTAATTAGTAACCTTTGGTATATAGATATAGTTCATACTGCTTTTATTCATCTTACTGTCTAAGAACATTTGGTAATTTTCAAATATTAGCCTTACAGTAGTTCCGCAGATATTATTGTAAATGGGCTTTGATCATTAATACGTGAGAGTCTCAATGATAGGTGATAGGTGATAGGTGCAGACGCTGAGCAGTGTGACTTTCAGAGTTGCTCAGTCATTCCTCTCCAGAAGTATTGAGACGTGACTGTTTGGATTTGACAAAAAGCAATTTTATACATCTGTTTGGATCATTTTAGTGTAGACAGAAATTAATCTGAGATATGGGGCACTACTGTCACTCTCTTATATGTATGTGCCCAAATAACCACCCTTAACCAGCCTGGCAAGCTATGGAGATTGCAATCTTAAGGGAAGGGAACTGGGTCAGGGGAGATTGATTAAGGTGCTCACAGGCACATAGGTCAAGTCGAGAAGGCAAATGTGACGTAAAACAGCAGCCCCCCAGGAATGTTTACAACACTGACAGACTTGGGGGCTTTCTTGGGGATTTAGCAAGAAGCTAAGTAGAAAGAAGGGGAAAGGAAAGAAAAAAAAAGATTATCCCTGATTTGCTTTCTTTCTTTTTCTGGTTTTTACATGTGAAGAACAAATTGGAAGAACTCAATAAACGTCTTCATACCAAAGGATCTACAGAAGGTAAGGGGGCGTTCAAAACCAACAAAATAAAAGTTGACTTCTAGGTTTTGAAAATTGACTTTAGACTGGAGCTGGAGCGATGGCTTGCTGTCCAGGAGATTGGGTTCTATCCCAAGCACCCACATGGCAACTCACAACCAGCTCCAGTCTGAGGGGGAGCTGATGCCCTCTTCTGGTCTCTGTGGCCACCAAGCACACACATGGTTAGAACACATACTTATAGGCCAAACACCCACACACATAAAAGAAAACAAATGAACAAACAAAATCAAAGACTTCCTATCTTACATGATGGGCACAATACTTGAAAAATTTCTATATGTATTTTAAATTGTTTTTTATATCTATGAGTACAATGTGCCAGCTATCTATTGGGGGAAATTCTATTAGTGTTTTGATTTCCTTTAATAGCATTAAAGCTCTAAAAAAGAGGAAACAAATCTACTGGGTATCTGATGGGTTACAAGTGAAGGTGCTCAAGGGGCCTTCTGTGATGGGAATGGTTCTCATAGTGGTAAAACATTAGCTCCTGGTGCTTATCCCAAAGCTGATCTGCCTAAGGATTGGTGGTTAAGTTGTAACGGAGAGAGGTGCCTAGAGGAAATCAGATTTCCTCCATCACACTCCGAGTTATCTCCACCCTGACCCAGGCTCCTCTTATTTATATCTGACAATAGCAAGCCTTGTGGAAGCTTGCGATATGCCAAAAACCAAACACAAGCCACACCTACCAAGAATCCCAATGATATCTACCACAGAAGAAAGACACGTCTTGTTCACATTTTAGCATGTGGAATGTAGCTTTAGTGCAGTCTCCTATGATTACTGTGGAATCTACGCTGACGACTTGCCCCTTATGGGGCATGCGATGCTCACGGCAGCACAGAGAACTATGTACTAGATATCAGGACTCAAGTGATGTCATTTCTACTCACAGCTCACAAGCCTAAATCAGACTCATGATACCAATGATGCAGAGTTTATTCTTTCCACTGGACACTGTCCTACAGGTCACATGGCTGCAGTTTAAGATAGAAAATAATTAGGAGCAATAAAACAATCTATCACTGGGGAAACTCCTTCTTTTGATTAATTTTATCTTTTTTTTTTTTTTTTTTTTTTGAGACAGCATCTCACAATGTAGCTTCGGCTGTTCTGGAACTCACTGTGTAGACCAGGCTGACTTTGAACTTACAGAGATTCACTGGCTTTTGTCTCCTGAGTGCTGGGATTAAAGGCATGCACTACCCTGCCTAGCTCTTCCTTTTGATTTTGGAGTTCTGGGACATTAGAGGAAGAGAGAATAGGAAGCGGCTCTGAAGGTTTTCTACAGTAGATGGGATGACTGTCTGAGACAGAAGGGGGTGAACTGAAGAAGCAGATAGAACAGCACAGCAGCTCCTCACTGTGTGCACATATCCCCCACGGCTATCACTCCAGCCATCAGCTTCCATGTGGTCCTGTTTATCAGATGTGTGTTTCCCATCTGACTAAGCAGAGGTTGAGGAAGGAAGGCAGCAGCAGGTTTTATTTACTTGCCATGCTTCCTTTTCTATAAAACAGTTTCATCTTTCTTCCTCTTCTGTATCACCACCCTCTCCCTTTTCCCTTTGATCACAGAACACACAGGCCTCCTGGCATGTAACGGGAGAGCGTACTATTAAAGGCAGGATTTTGTCCGTTGAGGTTTTATGTGTCTCCCACAAACTGTATGAACCACTTGAAAGTTTGGCACCTAACATTTAGTGTACTATAATATCATTATAAATGTACAAGAGCAACAGCGAAAACACAAGTTCCCAGGGTGGTGGGGTAGGGAGTCTCACAGAAATAGCACCAAGATGCTCCTTAAAAATGACTGTTAGTTTGTTCGTTCATTCTGACCACTCTCCATGGATTCTTGTACATTTGCTGGTTTAAATTCTAGCTGTTCTTGGTCCTAAAGCATTTCCACCTGCCTTGCAATATCTGCATCTAGTCTGTTGGTGAGTAGGCATTGCGCTCATGTAAGAAAGTCACTTCTACAACCTAGCACAGACTCCTCAAGCATAAGAGAAAGAGGCCTTGTTGTGGTGAATTTGTGGCTGCCAGGGCTAAATGGAACTGTAGTTAGTAACATTAGTTCTCTGCAGCTTTGCTCAGGGCTGTCCATAAGTGTTGCACATGTATCATGGGAGGGGCTTCATGTGGACATTTTTGTGGAGGGAAACTTTTTGTCCTTATTGACTGTTTGTTGGGCCTTAGCTGGATCTGACTCTTGTGTCTCTGAAGCAGCACCACCCACCACTGATGGGTTTTAACCTGAGGCTTCAAAAGGATAGCAGAAAATATTGGAGGATAATCTTGGCAGCTGTATTAGGTACTTTTATATCGAGTGAAGAATGCCTGTCAGATCCAATTTGAGTCCTCAAGATTTATTCTGGCTCATGGTTTCAGTCCATCCTGAGGAGGAAGACATGGCAGAACACTACCAGTTCGTGGTAGTGGCTGGAACATGTGGTAGAGAGGTAGCTTGGAGTGAAGCTGGAACCAGGGCCATGACTACCACCTTCAAAGGCCTGCCCCTAGTAACTTGCTTCTGCCAGTCAGATGACCAATTCCTACAGGTTCCTTGCCCTCCTAATACAGCACCAACAGTTAAGGAAGATATGCACATGCCAGCCTGTGGGGAACATTTTCAGACTCCATTCATGACAGTAGCCTATGCCCTGGGTCTGGTCATGGCCTATGGGACCAACCCTTAAGGACACGAGAGATCCAAAATAATGTTGCATTATGTGAAAACCATTTCCTTAGATTCTAGAATTTGTGTAAATGTCAGTGTTCCTTCTTCTATGTCTCTTGAATTTCATCTCCATCACTTTATTAGTTCTATCTCATTCATTTCTATAACAGCAAGACAAGATGTTCTGGGTCTGAGTACTTTATATATTCTACATTCAGGCTCCTATTCAAAATATCCAGTGTCTGCTAAAGTAGAACCTTGTAAAATCAAATTGTGTGTGCACGCATGCACACACACACACACACTCATTATATTTGAAGTAACTACTTTGACTTTCTAACTTTACATATGTTTTGAGACTTATAGAGCAGTTTATAAAGCTAATATTCTATATGAAGATGTAATGTATTTCTGGTTCTGGTTATTAGTTTAAAGTAGATGCAGGTCATTGATACTTTACGCATTGAGTCAAATGTAATATTGCAGCATTTCTATGTTGATGTTTTATTGTCCTACACTATGAAATAAGCCAGATGTTTATGCAAAGCACATGTGAAAGCTTCACGTTCCAGTCGTGAAACAGCCTGGAGTCTATTTGAGGTTAAAAAAGTATTAAATTAGTCTTATGTGATGTTTTGCTACCAATATTTACATTGTTATACAATCATGGCCTATATAAAATAAACAGGAGGAAAACCGTGGTCTTCAAAATTGGTTTGCTGAAGTCAGACTGCTTCTAGGTAGGTGGCAAATTCTAGATCTGTGTTGCATAATGGCTTTCGTTTTTCGGTCACAAATAGCTGATATAGTGGCAGGCTTGCTATGCAATGAAAACTCATTTCCTTGTGACAATGAGTCTGCGGATGAAGGAATGGAAGCCATGGAAAATGGAGACTTTCTGCACAGGCAGCTCTGCATTATAGCCAGAATGGGAAGAACTATACTAGTTACTTTCATCTTAGTCTTTTCTCCATTGCTACAAAATATGTTGCATTTTCTTAAGCAAGGACTTGTGGTCACCTTTTTACAAAAAGGAACTCAAATCATTTTAATGCCTATGTATGCTTGCTACTTTATATACCATATGAACTTAATTTATATAACAGCTGACTTAGTAACTTTTGCTAACTGGGTAGAGGAATCCTGACTATTGTTTGGAGACCTCTGGAGGCCTTTCTTTTGGAATCTTGAAATGTTTCCTGTCTCTTTTAGGTTTTGAAGATTCTAGGGTGTTAAAGAAGACGGTGGCATACTTGCTGTTTTCACTATAGATGTGTCCGTGCATGTACTATGGAAAGCATTTGGAAAGTAGCTAGTACTGACATTGCTTATGATTTATAGTAGAATTCAAGATACTGATGCTAGACACTAACTTACCTATCGGTGTTCTTTGCTGATATTGAAGTTGAGCGTGGACCCTCTACTGTCCTGCTATAACAATAGCCATAGATGCTTTGGGTGAAGATCGAAGTTGGCGTTTTATGGTCTTTGTTTCTCAACAACGTAACACTTCTGAAAGATGGAAGACATTGGGAGGTTAAGTAGTAAGAGTTACATAGGTAGGCAGAGCTGAGCTGAGATTTGACATGAGCTGTTTGTTTGCTCGTTTGTTTGTTTTTTTGTTTTGTCTAAGAATGCAGCTGGGGTTGTTAGGAGAGACCGGATTAGGCTGCAGCTGTTTCTGAAGTGCTGATAGATGCTTTGATGCAAACTCTTGTTTTCACTGGAGAGTCCCAATGGAGATACCTTGGCACTTATGCTTATGCTCAGAAAGAGTAGACATTTCATTCCAATTCAACCTTCAGTAGACTAATCCAGCAGGCAGCCTCTGACTGGAGATTACACAAAAGACTAGGGAGGAGAATAACGAACTAGAAGTTGGGCCCTAGATATCGGGTGGGCCATACGTGCAACTTTACTTCATCCATAAAATAGAGGTGATCCTGATGAGTCCAGTCTGTCTCAAAATTAGGCAGGCCACATGTAGAATTCCAGATTTTTTTTAAAAAATTTGTTTGTTAACTAATTACCAGGTAGATGTGTGATTGGTGTCATTGGAGACAGAATATCTAACGCAGATTAAGTCCCTGTCTTCATAGGATTGCTGTTCTGTTGCAAGGTTTAGCAAGCAGGTGAACTCCAGTAGAATGTGTTAATGGTGAAATTGGAAAACACAAGGTGAGGACTGAAATAGCAGGAATGACAATAGGTGCTTGTCAGGACACAGGAAAGGGGAAGGGAAAAGCATCGACTTTTTTTTTTTTTTTTTGGGAGA